TTGAATTAAATTTAAAATAAAATTAATTTATATATATATTTTTTAATTTTTTGTTGGGCCTCGCAAGATGGGGAAAATTCTTTGCAAAATTTCAGGGAGGAAAAATGTTCACCGTCTCGATTTTGTGGGGGGAATATTTTTTCTTATACCATTCCCATAGCGAGGATCTCGACAAAACTCCATGGAGAGTTATGTGGGGATCAAAGCAAATTGTCACCTTAATTGAGATGGAAAGTGTTTTTTGACTTTTTCATTTGTAAAATCATCCTATTTTGGGTCAAGATATTCATTTTGAGAACTCCTCGTACCATTAATCATTTAGTTTGATAATAGTTATTTATATTAGGATTAAATTTCTAATCTCTATGAATTTGGAGGGGGGAGGTGTAAAATGGGTCCTACGATCCTAATGATTTAATTATTTTATAATGTCCTTGCTTAGGATAAGACACCAAGGATCCGTGGCGCAATGGTAGCGCGTCTGACTCCAGATCAGAAGGTTGCGTGTTCGATTCACGTCGGGTTCAATCCCCTTGCGTGATCCTTATCTTTTCGAAATCCAACCTGTAATAAACTAAACTAAACTAATAATAATGGGCTTCAATAATTTTGAAGTCCATGTTTTTGTCTTTTGCTGAGGAACAGAGTCCATATCAACATATATATCATTGCCACACTGTTGACATTACAATACTTATATATATATTTTAATTCTTTTACCCTTGGTTATCAAATAAAAAGAGAAATATTTATTTAAAACAAAAAAAAAAAAAGAAGAAAAGAGAAACAGAACTAAAATAATAGTATTTAAACTATAGAGTACTTCTACCCAAAAAAAAACTTTAGAGTATGTTTGGGTTGATGAAATTGGAGAGGAGAGGAAAAATAAAATTTTAATTAATCAAATTATAACATTAATTTTAGTAAAAAAATTCCTTTCCTCTCAAAGTTTAATATGCACTTGTAACTTATTTAGTTTAAGGAGAAGAGAGGGTAAAAGAAAAAGTTGGTTTGAGGAGAAGAGAGGGTAAAAAAACAGTTTACCTATTTGAATAAAAAAGAAATTAGAAGGCAGGAGTCCCATAAACCAGACATGGTGTTAGTGTGGCAATAACAGCACACCCATATTTGTCGTTGTCTCCAGCACGAGATTGAGTTTCATGTTCACATTGGATCTTAAGATGGGTGGGAAGAATGTGAAAAAGGAGAAGAGTCTACACGAGTTGAAGCTTCCAATATTGGTAGATTTACACATGACATGATTAATGCACTTCAATTGCATTAAAAAACAGCATTGGTATCATCTATATTCTATATCTTGCCATATAACCTGTGAACGGTTTAAAATATACAAGACTGAGGGTCTTATAACAAAGATTGATGCAGCCTTAGCCAACTAAGGCTTTGCATGAGATACAAAAACTCTCCATGTCTTTTCATCTTACCTATTAAACTCGCAGAAATAGGGAGAAAGAGACATTGTAAATGTAACTGGAAGACATGCCTCTGAATAAGAAAGAACATCAACCTAATCCCAGAAGAAACCTAAATTTGGATCAGACAGTTCTTCAAGTATAGATTAACATTCTTTTTAGATGACATTATCATGCAACAATTTTTGCACAGTACCCATTTAAGCATGAAAAAGGCTAACTATGTTTGAAATTAACATATACAACTATGGAAAGTCACAGAGCTAATTAAAGCCCTTAGCTTCCAAGACAATTACTCGAACACATACAATCAGTAATTCACATAAATTTCATCCAAAGATAAGCTGTTATACTCCTCACTCCTACTATATCAAAGGGAAATGAATCATATCGCACAAAAGTATATCATAATATACTCCACAACCACAAATTTAACTTAAAAATGCTTAAAAACCCAATCATTATTATAATAAACATACACCAGTCACCACTGTTTGTATAAAGCCGTAAACATAAACAGCATTGGAAAGAGATCATGATTCATGAAACAACAAACCAGCACAGCAACTTTCCTAAGCCTTACACCAAAGATAGAATCACAACATTACAAAGCAATCCACTAGCACAGTTTTGGAAATTAAGCTATTATATCAAATCCCAAGAAAACAAAAGGCTACAACTCTGTATCCTACAACTAAAACCAGCATATAAAGTAAACTAAAACCTAAATATTGCTATTGCATCAGTAAACTTACACATCCCAGTTAGAACATTGGGAACTCATTGGCCTATCATGCTCTAACTCCAGCAGTTGTAACTCAAGACTCTGGTGAGGGCATTCTTTTAGGCTTCTTTTTTCTATCTGACACAGCTTTAGCAAAGGCCTCCACAATCCTCTGCTGGGACTCCAATATCATCTCGGTCCTCTTCATCTCCATCTCCATCCTCATAGTCTCGATCTCCCTAGCCATCTCCATCTTCATCTGCTCCATCCTCACAAACCCATCTCCCAAAACCTTTATGGCCGACACCATCTCTGCCACTGCATCTCTCTCCCTCTCCCTCTTCCCAGAAGAAGCTGATTTTCCCGCTGATTCTTCAAACCCTCTCAAAACCCTTGTCCCATAGGCAGACCCTGGCACGCTCCCACCAAAATTACCCCTAGGATTAGGATTAGAGTTGCTAGGGATAGGGGTGGCATTAGCATTTACAGTATATTTCTGATCTATCTTGCCGTAATATTTTGGAGCTGGCTGAGCTATACTCACCCCAGTGGGTATCCTAATCCTGAACCCACCACTGCTACCGCCACTGACATTACCACCATTGTTACCAATACCGTTTCGATACAACTTCTGTACACTTCTTGTATTGATACTCCCGTTCTTGTATCCATCATCATAAAAATCTTGATCTTGCTCATCTTCCTCTTCCTCTTCGTTATCATCATCAGCGCTATCCGAATTGTAATCGGGTTTCGTTTTAGGGCCCTTCTCCATGGCATCCATGCTCTTAAAGTGGACCCAAGAAGAAGCAAATCTCGAAACGGGCATAGATTTAGCCCGCTGTATTTCAGTCCTGTACCGTTTCCGGAGCTTCTCCATCTTGTGGCGACACTGCACGGCGGTCTTCGGTGGAGAAGCAGTGGGACATCGACGCGCCACAGCTTCCGCCACTTCCTGCCAGTGGGGCGCCTTCAGATTTCCACGACGGAGCGCGTACCACTTGTCGCGGTAAGCATCGATCAGGGCCACGGTCTCGTCGTGAGACCAGCAAGGCGGTGGAAGCCGCCGTGGGTTAGGCGTAACGGTCGAGGTAGCCGGCGGAGTTGAAGACGATGGAAGGGGAGCTGGTAATGCTAGCGCTGGCGGTGGAGGTGGAGAAGGCGATAGGTTTGACGACCGATCCAGAGGAGGCGACGGCGAAGATACGTTCGACATGGATTTCGTTTTAGATCCGGTATCTCTCAGGTCAACGAAGACGGTCTCGACCGACCTTATCAGATGACGATGAAGAAAAAAGAAACTGACCCAATTCAGAAAAATAGGTGTGAAGGGAAGGGGAAATGAAAAGGAGATGACTTTCGGAGGAGAAGAAGGTGGGTGGTGGTGTGGTGGAGGAGAAAGTTGGGTTTGGTGGCATATTTGAATGAATGGTGGTTAAAAGGGATGTGGGGTGGGGATGGGGGAGGAGTGTGCGGCTGATTTTGAGATCTAGGTGGATGAGGCCACCGCTTGGGTGTGCGTGAGTGGAGGGGGACTAACGTGCGCCGCGGGGAGCTGGTTTAAGTCGTACACCGCACCCAGGCCGAACGTGGGCCACTTTGTCTGACCATCATAAGTCTTGGTGGGCAGCCCCACCGCAGAGGGTGGGCTGTGTGGGTGCGCCTCCCATTTTGTTGCCATTCGGTGGGCGGTTCTTTCGTTTTTATTCGGAGAAAGAGATATATGCATTTATTCTCTCATACGTGAAAGAAGATAGCGCGTGATTAATAATAATAATAGGTTAAATGCTAATTTTGAGCCCTCAAGTTTAGGTTTTTTTTGCTCAATTTGAATCCTTCAATTTTTTTATATATTCTTTTAGTCCCTTAATTATATATATATATTTTTATTTTTTGGTTAAATGCTAAATTTGATCCCTCAACTTTAGTGAATTGCACATTTTTTATCCCTCAATAATTTTTTGCATTTTTTTTATCTTTCAACTCTAAGAATTGCACAATTTTGATCTTCCGTCAGTTAACTCACAGCTGGCAGTTAAATATTCCAAAATGGCACGTTTTTCATGACATGTCAATGACAAATTATATGATTAGCTTAGGTGTACATGCCAACTCAAATTTAATTGTTATTATCTAGGTTCATTGCGAACCCAAGTTTGTTCTAGGTTCGTCGTGACTTTAATATTAAGAATCAATATTGAAACTGAGAGAACATAGATCTGTAATGCAATATTCATCCACATATACTAAAATAAGGATTTGAAAAGGAAACACAAATATATGTAAATGTGAAATCAACTTATGAGTTACGACTAATGCAAACAAGCAAAAGTTATAGTCTTACAAAATACACATTAGCAGGCTCCAAATGCTTGAGAAATGACAATGCAGAAGTTTTGAAAAACCAGTTAATAAGGTTGCAATGAAGAAAAATTTGCAACGAATTTATCAGTATTTTACCACATATTATCGGAAACAAAAATGATTTTGGGGGAAAAGAATACAAAAATAAGAGAATGTAGTTTGCCTTTACTTTTGCCCAAGTTAGTCTCCATTTTTTATCCTTTTCAAAAACCATGGTAGAAACCTATCTAAAGAACCTAATCAGACATGCTCTTTAAACA